CTTTAACCTCCAAATATTCTTTCTTTGGATCCCTCTACAAGTTAAATGTGATTATGGTTCTTTTTACAAATATTTGATCCTCTTACATGTGTATTTAGACTATTGGCCAGCTCAAGTGCCGCGAGAAGTGTGTTATAGATACCTTGACTGAAGTGGTATGTATTTTTCCAATTCACCCTTTTACTCTTAAGATCAAATTGTTATAACTCTTAAGATCTACTTGTTCATTAATAATAATAATAATAATAATAATAATAATAATAATAACACCTTTATTTTGACATGATAATGTTTAAAGCTGAACAGCTTGTGGGGTCGTGTGTAAATCTAAATAAACTCTAAATTAAATAAATTCAAATGATGATGGTTTTTGAGGAGAGGGGAACACCGGAGTAGCCGGAGAAAAACCTCTCGGAGCAGAGTAGAGGACCAACAAACTCAATCTATTTATGACACCGGGTCCGGGAATCGAACCCGGGACACATTGGTGGAAGGTGAGCGCTCTTACTACTACGCCAACCCTGCTCCTTTTGTAATTATCAGTTAATTTTTTTTTTTACTTTGACGGAGAAAATTATGTTTATTAACGTAGTTAAGTCATTACAAACAGCCGAGTTGTCTACGACTTGAGTTTGAAAGTATGGTAAGCATATTGCTTAAAACATCAGTGCCAACACTTGGGATCACTGGTGATCGAACCCATACCTTGAATCAGTATGGTTGATCTTGATCTCGATTTTTGTAGTTTGAATGTTAGGTTTTAAAGTTCTAAATTGTCAAAAAGTAACTGAAACGTTCTTCGCCCAGTTAACCAAATGGGGTAAAATGTGATAAAATGTGATAAAATGTGGCTTTTAACGAGTCTCCTTTACCTTCTGTGAAGATTGAGGGAGACTGTCCAATGAGTACTTCTATTGCAAGGAGAACTGTATAAACCAATAGCAAAATTTTTAAAAGACCGTTTCCCACAATCATTCGTGGTAGGACAAACTTTTAACTAGGTTATCTTTGGTTGGTCCTCGCTTAGGTACCTAGCTTTTGACTACTTAGTACCTAAAAAATAAATTATAAATAATTCGAATTATAAATAAGAATTATAAATTCGAAGTAATAAAGAAATTTAGGAACGTAGTCAGAGGTGATCGTTTAAGAATTAGCATTTGAAACAAGATTAAAAGTATAAAGGAAGCGTAGGAGGAAGGCACTAGAATGGAAGCAAGATGTACGTGCAAGAGAAAACTTTCGACGCGGAACGCTCTTTCATTTTCCTGTTAGCAAATCGTGGCTACCTTTGCGATTGTGTAAACTATTTCATCTGAAGATTTGCAATGAGTAATCCATTATAAGTCAAAATGATATTTGAAGAACACCTTTTTCCTGCGTTAAGGTAGTTTTTCAAATGCCCTGATTCCCCGACGCTCACAGAAAGCGTCCCACAGGGACAAGGCATGCAAAGCGGGGGGGACTGAAATTGATCATTAATCTCTAATGCCAGTAATTGCACTTCCCGCCAGCTTTTAACCTTCCCTTCTTTTAAGTACGCCTTGTTGCCTCATCCGCCAAGAGGGCTTGAAAGCCTTTTAGGAAGGTGGCGCAACGGGAAACCCTTCAATAGAAAGCGGTGAACGCTTGAAACAGGTTATCAGGGACAAAAGACAGAAGATCACAGCGCAGAGAGCGGGGAAAAGGCACGGTAGCACTTTAGGAATGTGATGTTCACCCCAAAACAATAGAAAAGGAGACATTTAAAATATAGTGAGGAATTTGATTTCGTAACAAAGTTATTTTCCACAGAATTTTCACTGTCGTTACATAACACTGTTCTTAATTCATCAGTTAGCACAATATTTACAATGTCTGCATATTAAAAATACACTATTGATTTAAATGAGGGTTTGGAAGTATTCTAATTTACAAAGCAACTGCCTATACCATTTGTAGGTGGACATAACTGCTGAAAAAAGTCATGGTATGAATTTAAAAAGTGCCAGAGTTTCCAAAAAATATGTTTAAACAAAATAGTATCACATGTTAAGTTCTTAGACTAGGTTAGCACTATAACTATAATGGAGAGTTGTTCACACACGTGTCTACTCTTGTAATTTGATTGTACAACTTACTATGCTTGTGAATGCCATTCAAATTTCAATAACATGTTTAAATACCAACGTTCCAAATTCCAATTCGATCTGGAACAGTGGACAAGAATAGCCACCCAGTGGATGTCCATTGCTAAATCATTTATCATTTATTATTATTTATTATTATTATAAATATTTCATGTTGTCAAAAATTATTACTACATGACAAACACCATCACAAAAAGAAACAAAATAGAGTAACATCCATCAATCAAATCTTTGAACTCGCCCTCTAAATGGTCAAAAGTGACTAACAACATCTTGAAATGCTAAGGGGTTTCTGTCTTCAGTTTGCCACCTATAATTCCCACAAAAGAGTATGAGATCTTCGATTCAATGTTGGGGACGAAAAAAAAAAACATGTTTGGTCCTATTCTGCTACTCAGCAAAAAGAGAAATTTCACAGCAGAAACAAGTTGCACAATTCAGTAATTTTTAGTGAGAATTCACATTTTTAAATGTCTATATTTTTATATACACTGAAGCTATCCAATAATTTAAATCTTCAAAACCTTAAAAAAATCTTTCCACTTTATGATGTGTAAAGTACACCAAAAAATGCAGGGGTTATGTTCACAAACATCAATGTACATCAATGATTCATGTTTCTGGCACCTTTCTCTTAAGTGAAAAAAAGCATTTTAAAAAAATTGTGAGCTGTCTATTAAACGTCTCATTCCCTCACGATTTCTGGAGCCTCATGAGCAGTCATTACTCTTTCAAGTTTTTCATTCCTTAAATGTTTTCACACTCTTAAATAGCATAGGTGTTCACAGCAACTCAAAATACAGTCTTTTATATTCAGGATCTCCCTAAATCTGCCTTGTATTGGGAGCATCACTTTCCCTCCTTTTCAAGGTGTGTGAGTGGTTATTCCCAAGGTAAATGCTCTGCATTGTAGTTCTCCAAGAACACAGGAATACAGGATTCTGTTCTCTGATTAATATTCCACCAGAATAAACAAGAAAACCATATACTCATAAACAGAAATTTCTTCTAGTTTCTGTTTTTTTTTTTCTTGAATACAAAGATAGCCAAGTCCAAAAGAAAATATTGCAAGGCCACTTTGTCCAGCCACACCTATAAGACACTATTTGAGAATGGTAAAAAAAGAGTTTCTCTCCAGATATAAATACACCAAGACTAGATTAACACTAAGGTGTCAGGTCTTTTATAAAATTGTTCATAATTATCACATTCCATTGCTTATCATACAAATATAAAATTAAACATCTATTTTGCCAACATGTGCATGGTACAGTGTGTATGTCAACAATGACAAATGGTATGTATGATTTTAATTAGGTGCCAGACATTGTTATCGCAGTTCAAGTAGGGCAGGATTATGTTCCATAATCATCATCAATAATCCATCCAGGTAACCTCGTAACCTCCTGTTTTCTTCCTCTTGGTCTCTAAGAGCATTGATGATTTTTTCTTTGTCAGCTGTGACAAGTTCATCAGCCAATGATCCTTTCTGCAAGAGGTCAAAAGGAAACAGCAGCTCATTAACACTTTACCCCTGAGAGTAACTAGCACCTAACTGGCACTCTTATAATCCCACGGGTACCAATGAATGCTTTTCATTCCACTAATTTATTTGTGTTTTTCTCGTTGCCATGTTCCCACCAATGGCGTAGCTCCGCTTTCTGCATATAAAACCACATACAACCCACAATTCCTCCATTCGCTCTGACGAAGGGCTAACGCTCGAAACATCAGATTTTTTATTTGTTACGGTGGCCAATTTACAATTTCAACTTAGTTGATATAACCAATTATCTTGTTACCCCCACCAATGCAGAACCACATGTACAGTTTCTTTAGAAACTTTCAGCCCTTAGCATCTAACCTCTTCTCCTCACCACATCCCCCCTGAATCACAAATTAAGGTCAGGAGAACAAAGGAAAGGATCACCGACTAAAGAAGCTCTTGATCGTTAAACAAATTCTCCTTGTCAGCACCTTACAAAATGTGTTGAAAACAGTATGGAAAATATGTATTCTGACAGTAGGGTGTAAAGGAATAAAAAGAGAAGAAAAAGGGAATACAGATACAAACTTTCAAATTTATTAGAAGGGGTCAGAAGAGATGTATTTACCAAATGCTATTTTTCATGTTTATAAAAGGTAAAGATAGGTTGACTTCAACAAGAAAATAATTGTATTCAATTGTTGTCAGAGAAAAATAATATTCTACCTTTCACTCACAATAGCAAAAGAAAAAGTTCTCCTAACTGAGACTACACATTTCTTTGTTGGCTATTCCTGGGAATTTGGTTTTTGATCTGCATTAAATCAGAAAATTCCTCTGCTGCTCCAAAAGAATTATACAAGAACATTGAAAAGAATGACATGTACATCATGTATGCCCACCTGTTCTGCACCAAAGAACCCATCCTGTTGCAGTTGTACGTTGAGCTCTTCTTTTGAATTTCTCAAGCCCAAGTTCTCCTAGAATCAAAAGAAGACTCTTTTTCAATGAAAGCTCTAGTGATGTAAGGCCACACAGTAAATAATAATGATGCAGGAGTAGCCTTGCATGAGTTAGTATTCACCAATGGCTGCAGATGACAGTCTAACTACAAATATTTCACTGTTTCAGTACCTTTATCAGTGACTGAACATGTCTTTCTAAGTCAGTCTTCTGCTGTTCCACATTTTGAAAGTCTTTCAGTTTCTGATCTACTTCCTGCCTATACTTTTCCAGTTCTGAAAGCTGCTCAGAGGCTAGGGCAAGCTCCTAAACAAATGAAATTATAAATAACAACGAGATCCTTTTAACAGTTTTACATGAAACATGCAAAAAATCCACTTAAGTATGTGAACCTTAAGCCAAAAAGTATTCTCAAAAGTTTCTTTTTCACACAAATTTCAATTTACTGTCTATGTTTTTCACCCTTTCATCGTAATTTCAATCCATTCAAATGATTTGAGCAGCCATTTGAACTATCTTGGCATTCATTCCATGTATCTACACAAAACATATTCAAACACCTGTACTGACCTGTTCATGTTGTTGATGATCTTCGAGTCGTCCCTTACTTTCAGTGTCTAGCTTTCCTTTTAGCTCAGCCACTTCATCTGTTTTAATTTGAAGTTGGAGTTCAAGGCTATCTATTTGTTTCAGAAGCCTTCTTTTATCCTGTCATAGATACATTCTATAATTAGCATAACTGACAAGAAACCTTTACAACTAGTGTAAAGGATTAGAGGATTTTTTTTTTAAACGACAGTATTGAAGAAAACTGCAACAGGATATAAGCATTTCATCATGTGATCTGATTGTAAGAGTTGGCGGAGAGGGGGGGGTAATCTTGAGAAGGACTGTTGCCTGAGGAGACTTACGTCTCAACAACTTGGGTGTCATCATCAGAGTCAGTTGAGTGTTAATAAGTGCAGTTGGTGCAAACTGATTGGTCAATTAAGCCTTGATGTTATTGGTTATAAAACTTAAGAAGCAAAAACTGGTTAGGTTATGATTGGTCAATTTCAATCTGTCCATAATGTGAGGTCCTTCTGTTCGGCTAGTTTGTTGTGTGAATGTGGTGAAAAAGTTGTGCGTATGGTTCCAGTAGTTATTGACACCTGTTGCAACGAGTCTGTTCTTAGAGAACCAGCTTTCCAGAGTCATTCATTAACAAAAGGTAGTGCCATAGGTTAATTAATTAAGCATTGCTGGAATGTGTGTTAAGTCACCATTACTGTATCCATGCACTAACCTCATGACATATCTCTAGTTCTTTTCTTAACATAGGCTCCACTTTTTTAAGATGTTCTATTTCCTCTTCAGCTTGAAGTAACCTACAAGAAAAAAATGAAGTTCATGTTACAAGAAGCATGGTAACACTCAGGACAACAAATTTAAGGTAAATAAATAATGAATAGGAAAAAAGCCTTACAAGTGAATTACAATTCGTCAAATTATAAGTGAAAATTTGTCCAAAAAAATTATGTTTTTAAAAGGGTTCCTACTTGTACCTTAAGTCTGAGATCCTTAAACAAAGGGGTAAGTTTCTGGAAAAACTGTGGTGCTGTTGTGTCANGGTTACAAGATAATTGGTGTTATTAAAAACTAGATCATTGGATAATGCAATTCAAGACTTTTTATTGGCCTAGCCATTATGGTATATCAGCCAATATACCATAATCCACAATTATGGTAAGCGTACGTGTCAGCTTAAAATTAAAAGGGAGCTAAAAATTTAATAAAATTTAATAATTTAATTTAACGTTTTTAATACTGACAACAATTACTCCACTCGTGCTTGTTGGATATGAGATGATTATAGCCAACTCGGCGCTATCATCTCATATCTAGTGGAATAATTGTTAATTATCAACTGAGTCACCCTGGCCACAATGACAAGTTTCTAAAGAGAGGTTCTGCTGAATAACTTTTGAGGGGTTTATCTTGACAAACTTCACACTATCAGTTGTTTTAAGGTTAACTTTCAGATATCAAAATTCAGCTGTTATGATATGCAAATAAATTCAAAGGGCTCATAGTAAACATACTTTTATATAAAATAATCTACAACCATAGCAATTTTTTTCATATATTTACAAGCTTAAATCATGCTGCACTAAAAAGAACAGTGCAAGAAAAATTAATATACACAACTGGTGTGTCACTACTTACTTTCTGTTGAGTGTTTCTAATGTTTGTTCATTTTCTCTCTCTAATTTGGTCTGTGAAGGAGAAGAAAAGAAATACTGTCAGGGAAAAAATGTCATACTTATTAGTTAAAATTCTCCCAAGATTGTGGTAACAGTGAAAAATTATTAATCATTTGCAATCATTAAAAACTTTCCTGCATCTTCTGGTTACAATTCAGTGTTGTGACAATAGTCCATTTTACAGTTGTGTGCTTGGTTGCCAAGCTTTTGAATGGGAGTGAGGCTAGGGTTGACCTTGTTATGATACAAACCTTGCTGCATTTCAAATGTAAATCACTTTGTTATCATGCTAAGTAGATACAGGTCTCTATGACAACAAGGTCACTTTCAGCCTCACTCTGAATCAAAGGCTTGGCAACTAAGTACACAACTGTAAAATGGCCTATTGCATGTCAACTAGTTAACCCCCTGGAGTAACTAACTTTTAACTTCTCCTTGTAATATCCATACACTATAGAGCAAACAGGGTAATTACGAGGATACTCATACTTATCGGGTAGGGTCTGCTGTCTTGATCTACCACCAAATTCTCATAAACAATTTACAGGGAAATGTGTAGCAGCTACAGGGGAGAATCAACAATAAATTCATGCGACTTTGAGGATTAAAGGTAGTTGATGATAATGATGAGAGACATAAGGTTTTCATTTGGACATTTATTGATATGTGTAGCTTAAAATATCATGCAAAACAGCTTCAAACAACTCAGGCCATTAAAATTTAGCAATGGAATTCTGAGCAATTGACCACTTTCATAAATGGCTGCCGGATTAATATTCTTTTGTTTAAATTTAAATTAGCCTTTCTGACCTCGCTTGAGATAATGTATTCTTTTGAATTTTGTTCTGGAGAACGAGGCCAGAAAGGCTAATTTAAATTTATACAAAAGAATATTAATCCGGCAGCCTTTTATGAAAGTGGTCTATGGCCCTAGAATTCTCCAGTCTCATGATCACAGTATTAAACCATGGACATATATTCCTTCTGGATATAAACAACAGACATGGTTACTTATGATTGTTTAGTTGGCAGATTTAAAAACTTTCATCAGATACTCATGGCTGACCACAAGAAGTAAAACTAAGAACCAAAATTAAAAGGTTGTGGTTGAACAAACCTCAGTCAAAACTTACCAAAGCTGTTTTGTATCTCAAACTTTCTTCCTCTACTTGTTTCCCTGTTGAAACTTTTTGGCTCTCGAGTTGTTCTTCTAATGCATTTATTCTACAATAAAATCAAACACAATCATGAAAACAATTTAATAATATCCTAAATCAGTGCTTTGAACCTTTGAGGTTAAGACAGTGCTAAATTTCGAGAACTTAAAAACAAATGCATGGTGGCTAAAAAAGATGTACCAATTTACTTCTTTTTGTTTTATCCCTTATTTTTGGTTGTTGTGTTTTTAACTGTATGTCAAAATGTTAGGACAGCCAAAATACTGAAATAAAACCTGACCAATGATGGTCAGCTAATGTGAGTTTGAAAAAGCACCCAAATTCTAAAGAGAAAAAGTATTTGAATGATTAAAATAGAAATCTTTCATTTTGATAAAGAAATAATTATCAAACTGCATGAGAAACTGATACCAGCATCAAAATAATTGCCTATCTAGAGCACTGTACTTGATGAGGCACAATGTTTCATTCATTCAGAAGATATCCCAACTAAGAAAATTTGAAGAGATTCATCTAAAAAGTGGAATTAAAACCTTTAAAAGTAATTGCCATTTCAAATTTGCCTCTTAAAACCATTTTTCACATAATCATTACAAGGCAAACATGAGTTTATTTTTTCTTGTGGAACAAATCAAATTTTAAACCCTAAGAAACTGAAACTGACTATGATACATTTATGGCAAAGAAATGTGACTGAAATGGAAAACTTCATTAGCTAACATAAACTTTTCATTTCACAAGCAAATATCAGCTGGCACTTTCAAAAATAAAATATTATTGCTCAATATGTTAATATTGCTGTGTCAAACATCTTTTATTGAAATAATTTAACAAAAAGTCACCTTTCCAACAAAACTATGTGCCTTTTCGTGACTTTCTCCCCATAGCTTACATTTGTGACATAAAATCGCCAATTCAATACAACATACAAGTCAAAATTTCATCATTTTAATCTTTATGGTTGTAATATCAAGTTTTCAGTCCAAGTGGAAAGAAAATCAACAAAAACACCCATAATCTATTCTGTTCTTTTAACATCATATTCTCATCACTCGGTTCCATGAAGAGAAACCTAATTCTTCTCAAGAAAATAAATATAAAAATACTAAAAGTAAAAGGCAAAATGTATTTTAACAAACATCTTCAATAAAAATCTGAATTCAGCTGAGAATATATATCACTGTGATGGATGTGAATCATAAAAAGTAATTTACAAGCTTGTAATGTGCTACAAGGGAAATACAGTTGACAAACTTGCCTTTACATTACAAGAGGAGAGCATTACAAAGCTATCCATCCATGAAAATGGTTCACAATTTTTCTCTAGGCATGAAAATGAAAATATGATACCAGAAGCAGCAGTTTCTTAGAGTCTTCTTTACATTGAACAATGTGAACTCATTCACAATAATATAATGTCAAATGGCTTCCTGACGCATTCAGCCAATATTGCGAAAAAAAAAAAAAAAACTGGCTCACCTTCTAAGAATAGAACTATGAATTGATGCAAAAACATTTCCCTCACAAACATTTTTCTTTCACCTTTGGTTTCAGGTGCATCATTTATGATGAGGAAATAAATTTCAATCTGACTACGTTTTATGCAAATGTGGGGCAGATGTCACTTGAATAGCAAGTTAATTATTCATGAAAAAGCCAAAAGGCTTTAAATAGGTTAGACAGGTAGTGGCTCATTTGAATAAACCACATCTTTATGACATTGTTCATAAACACAGCAGGATGTCTGCTAAAATAAAACAACATACCTCAGCCACAAAAAAGGAACAAAACAACAAAAAATAAACTCTGGATCAATCAAAACTTTGAACAGATACCAGGTGGCTAGGATGTTTTTCAAAGCAAAACCATTGTCACTGTGTACTACAGAATATAATAGCAAGCTGCTAGACTACACACAAATTTATTCAATGTTGCCACATGATTATTTTTTTACAGGTTGTTTGTACTTGAGATATAATAAAATTGAGCTTGTTTTGCCCTTTTAGTTCAAGATGAAAATTAAAATCTTCTCAAAGTCTGTTGTGCATTATTCTAAAATCAGTTTCAAGAATTTAGACTGAAATGAGTGTCAGTACTATAACTGAGCATCATAAGCTGAGTTTTTGTAAAAATATATAAAATGGCATTAAACAATCATGATAAAAAGATTTTGCTTGCTTTAAGAAAATAATGATCTGCAAAAAATTTAATAGTAACCTCTCCAAATCTATTTTCTACTGCATGCAAACTTAAAATAACAGCTCTTACTACCTTTATAAGGTAAGACAAGGAAAATCTTCCTCAGCATAAAGCTGATAGAACTTTATAGCACTTCTGTAGAATTCTCTTTGTCAGTACCAAGGGGAATGGATAGAGAAGAGTATGGAGAAAATGGAGATTGATGTTAAGGTGTAAGGGTTAAAGCACTTAGTCAAATATGTTGGTGTGCTAGTTAGAACTAATAATAAATGGAAGTGAAAGAAGCAAGGGAGAAGATAATAAATGTGTTAGCAGTAACACCTGCAGAAGGCACAACTTCCTATACACTACAAGTAAAGATCAATTTTCAAACTGAGCAAGTGAACAAAGGTAGATAACTGTCTAGGTGAAATATTTCATCAAAGATTCATGCACTCTGCTTACCTCGTACATAACAATTTATTTTCCTCTCTAAATTTGTTCTGTTTATCTGTTTGCATTGCATGATCCTCTTGTAATAGTGACACTTGTGAAGACAGTCTTTTAAGCTGTAGAAATAATAAAAATAAATCTTAATAATGGCCCTTCAACTGGGTTTAAGACAAACAATTGACGATAATGATGTCAATTCCATTTTAAATTTCTACAATTTCTTTGTGCACAAAGGAAGTAGCTCTTAAGTACATGTAACTTTTCAGTGGTAGGTGCTCTAAGCTGTTGGTGACTGAAAAACAAAAAATGGCTGCCAAAAATAAAATTGTAGTCCCCAATGGGGGAGAGAATAAAAACAAACACACCAAACCATTTACCACACCATACAGTTAAGAAGAAAAAGTCATTTACAGGGTGTCAATAATATTTCTTGAAATAATTTATCTCCCTTTAGCTCATGGCACAATGATGTGCCAATGATGTATTTCCATTTCCACCACTGAGTGATAAATCATGAGACTACAAACCTCAGTTAGGAGAAACATTGATGTTCCTGCTTCACTATCTGATAGTGCTCGATCACCCATAAGGTCATCAAAACTGTTATGTCTACTGGGATTTTCTGAGTGACATTTATAGAGATGCATATGATGGCTACAGAAAAACATAACAAAATAGAGAGAGATGTCAATGAAAGTAAAAACAAATACAAAACTTTTCTGAGGTAAAAACCAAATGTGCATTGGGTTAATCAAAAGAGAAGTATATCATCATAAAAATTACAATCAACTTTGTAGTAAAAATTTTGTGAGCCAGAAAACAAGAATATTTCAACTACCCCTAAACAGAAAGCACTGTCCCTATGAGAGACATTTTGATCTTGCATGAAAAAAGATCTCTACAGAATGACATCTTACTGACTTCAGATGAGAACAAAGTGTTAGCAAATGCAAACAGCAGCTATGATAATTCCACTGATACAAAGTTATGGCATTATGAGAGGGCTTTGAAATATTTTAGACAAGTTATGAGTATCAATTTACATATTTTACAAAACATTGATAATAAATAAAAAGACATACAAGGTGTTCAATGTGTACTCTTTGGAATCACATGACCATCATGAAAATTCACTTGAAAATAAAAGTTTTGGCTAGTGTTCAAGTGATTTTGAGTGCTCTAAGAAGCCTATTCTCTTTTGAAAAACAATGTACTTTGAACTCTTTATGAAGAGGGTTTAACATGTCATATACAGTTCAATGTAACACTTGTTGCAAAAATATAGGTTTCAAAGTCTTAATATACTATAGTTGTTATGTAACAAAAAGATCAAGAGGGAGAAAAATGGAAAAATGCTTACACTGAACATACACAAAAAGATGTCAGTCTGTAGTTTGCTTTCTAACAATTGATTGAAAGAAAAATGGTTCTAGGATAGAGAATTCAATAATTAAGGGTGTGGTGGTAAGGGGAGGGGAAGGGGGAATGAGAGGGTAGGGTAGGGGGTAATGGTGATTAATAACAAATACCTCATTGTCTCTCTTAAAACCAACATTCTAAATTCCAATTTGACCTAGAAACAGTGTACAGGAGCCAACTCATGGAATGTCTACTGTGACATCACATAATTAATATATATTTTTTTATTTTTCTATTTTTCATTTATCATGTTTGTCATTCTAAATCACAAAACAACAACCTTCACCTCTTGTGGAATAGCAATGCTGATTGCTAAATAGTCCATCTTAATCGATGGGCTATTGAATTACATTCATCGCATTTATTGATCAATAAATCCTGCTTACCTCGAAAATGCAGCAGCTGCAGCTGATGATCTTCTGTTGCTGAGGAAATAGATGATAAAAATATAATGAGCAAATATAACACAAGTTCTGTCAAAGAGTCACTTCAAATGGTTTTAAGATTGATTAAGTTTTGGCTCAATGCATGTCTTCCTCTAAGTTTAAGTAGACATAATCATGATATACAGTATCCTTCTGAATACTGCAAAAATAGCTCTTCTATGGATCTCCCTCTCTAATAACTAATCTTTTTAATTCATGTCACAAACCCACTTAGCCTTTTAGCCACAACAATCTGTTTAAACACCATACTATTACTACTCGAAGGCAAGATCAAAACAGCTTATTTTCCTACTCATAAAAGAATGATAAATACACCTCCCATAACAGTGCTTTCAATAAGACCCAGCACCCACTGGAGCTCTGGCAGGCATTCTGTTGTGAGTCGCCAGGTATAATTCACCGAGCTCAAGTTGCAGTCACCATGTTAAGTCGTAATCAAGTCACTCTCCGGCAGGTGTTGTACTGAGGTAGCCACCTATTTCAAATCTTATTGAAAGCCCTGCATAATAAAAGAGGTCTAGGGAACACCAAATTCTGATTTACTAATTCAAAAGGAAATAACTGGACAATTAAAGGGGAGAATCATTGGTACACGTACAGGTAACATCATAGCGGTTGATTAGAAACACTAATTAAATATACTTTCTTAAGATGCGTTCAGCATATGGATGGTTCCTTTCTAATGTTGGACTATCTTCAAACGCTGTATCCTCACTGAAGCTTTCTCCAAATCCTTCAAATCCTTCTTCAGACTGATATTCACTGGTATCTGAGTGTGAATGTCTATCACTGTACATATCAACATTCATGGCTGGTAAAGTTGCCCGATGTTTTAACCGAGGTCCTGTGGGAGGTGGGAATGTGGAATATTGTTTTCGATTGCGACTAAACTTTGAAGGTTGCAGCTCATCTTGGAAATTGTCATCATCATCGCCATTATAATCATTTGTTGATGTTGTACTGTAAGAACTGTCTCTCTGAAAAGAGAACATTGCATCAGTACCACAGATCATGATTAAATGTATAATAGGTAATAGTTAACCCTCTCAGTCCCAGATCTCATTGGTAATTCTCCTTGCTCTCTGTCATACAAATCTTAAGAGATAAGTTCCAAGAATTTGGTAATGGATCAACCAATAATCCCCCAAAATGAAACTGTTCTTTATGCTTACCACTTGTCTGCCTGATATAGTATCAAAATTGTAAGGAGAAACTATGTCTTCATCACACACGGAAGTTAAATTGATAAGAGTAAGCAATCAAGCCAAGTGACCCACAATGTGCCAGGACTTCTTCACCTGGACAGGACATGAGGCGACTAAGAGTATTGTTATTTCCTTTGGATATCATGCCACTCCTTTGCAGGTTTACAGGTTTGCAGGTAACCTCCCCTCTCCCTCCCCCATGTATTTTGTAAGGCTTCTGGGACAGTCTTTTATTAATACTCCTAGATAAAGTGAAGGTTTCACTGTATTGTAGTCATCATTAAAATTAATAATCCTTTGTCCAAAATTCAGTAGGAAACAATTATCAATGAGAACAAACTGTTGTTCATTAGGCCTCTTACTGCCATCTGCTCAACTGGGGCAGATCCAGGTTTTCATGGAGGGGGGTTCGGATAAAAGCCCGCTGAAGGTGGTGGCCCCTAGGGGAGTCTGGGGGCATGCTCCCCTGGAAAATTTTTAATTTTAGGGCCTCTGAAATGCGATTTTCAGCATTTTCAGGGGCAATTTAAAGTGGTTTAATTGCTCTAAAGTCACCTCCATGCATTTGTTATACGTTTTTATGTTCAGTTTAGGGGGTTCAACCGAACCACCCCTAGATCTGCCCCAGCTCAAATTTGATCTTGATTATTTGGACACAGCCACATGTTGTACCTGGCTTTTTATAGTTTCTATGTATATACACACAGATTTCAATAACCTTTTCCATAAGCCATTGTCAAAGGGCTGTGAGGCCAAATCCAAATATGAGAGGGTCCTTACAGGCTAAACAGCCAGTAGTTAGAGGTCTTAAGAGCAGTGGTAGACCCATCATAACCAGACCTTTTGACACCCTTGAAATACAGGGTTGTGTAAACTACGGGAACACAGTTTTTGAACTTCACCAGTTTTTTCATTTTGTGTTGTTGTCAGCTTCAAGAGCCCAAGATAAAAAATTTCATACAAATTCAACAAAAAACCCAAAACTGAATGTTTTTCTGCAGCAAAAGCCTACTTTGAATGAAATGAAACTCTGAAAATAACCCATAGCCATAGCTACTGGCAAATTAGATGTATATTAGTGATTTGATCACAATATATTTTAGGCACCATTCACAAAATACGAAACAAAAGTGCACATCTGATGACGTATGTAGCACATTAATGAGTCCGAACGTATCGAGGTGCAATGATGTATAGATAAACATTGCAAGGATACGCACAGTCAGATACCTATTTACATCACTGACTAATCCACATTAATATTCATTTCCATACTTCAATTAACATAGCAAAACAAGTTGCTGAAAAGAAAAGAAATAACCTCACCTGACTCTAGAAAAACAAAAAATCCTGAGAAACTTCACGCACAATTTCCCACGAAATGAAATATTGTGTCATTACATTTGTGTGCACAAAACTTGTCTCTAAGCCAATTCTGAAACCTTAAAGTACCCGTTGTCATACGCAATCATGGTTTATTCTCTCCCAGCACTAAGTGGAATAAATGAGCAATCACTCAGGTAGGCTCTGGAAAAAAATTCAATTAATTTAAAAGGGGAATGAAAGTACCTCACAACAGCTATCTTCCTGTTGGTCGTTTTCTGCCACAGATATTGTCAGTCTTGGAAAAGATTCATCTTCCACTAACTCGTGCGAATTCTTTTCATTTACATTGACATCACCATTAGCCCCTAGGGAAATGGAAACATTTCAATATCATACAGACACCATCCAAAAACAAAATGTATTGTCGCTTCCCGATCGATCTCGTGTTTTCACGTCTGCGAATATTATTCACCTGAACCACTGTCATATTGGAACCTTTCACAATTGCACATAGCGCAATATAATTGAATCCCGATATTTCACCGACAGGTCGGCATTGATGTTACAAAAATCACTTACCTAGGAAATCATGTATTCCTTTACAAAAACCGTCAAAGCTTATCTGCCCAAACCCTTCAGGATCGAGTTTTTCGATCAGCATTTTTATCTCCTGGTGGTAGAGGAGAACGAAAGAATATCAATGAGATTTACATTGACAACAATCAACACTTGCCGCTAAGGAAGTTAAAGCTTTCGGTTGCGATCGAATTTAGAAAAAGTTTTCACATGTACGCTCAATTTTGATATTGGAGATAGAGAACGACGAAGAAAACGATTTCAAGAATATAAACTGATTCAACACTGTTTCCACTGAAAATGTTAGAATTTTCTACCTGTTGGTGACCGGTTTACAGAAGGTAATTATAGTAAACTAAACTGGTGTGGTGAAAGAGATGACAAGCAAGAGTGCAAATAAAACAACACTTTTCGAAACTACAGTAGTGGCGATCGAGCCTCTTCAAATTCCACTAAAAAATAATCGCTTGGAAATCCTAGCATCTGAAATATTTTGGTCGAAGCAAATTGATCACAGTCACTAGGAAACAAGACTCAAACGCTGACTACCGGCAATTACGTCTCTATCCAGCTTGCATGAACTCTCTGTTTACGATTGGAATCTCGTACAAAAACAACGTCTTCGCGTACCTTTAGTACAGTTTAAACGTTATCCACTACTGTTTCATTACAGACACATGGATAATAATAAAAATGAAAGTTACTAGTGGTAAGGACAGTTTTAATCTACCTCAAATCCAACACTGGCGTGTTCCTGGCCGAGACTAAGAAGATCCTGCGTCTTCACGAAACCGTCGCCATTTTGGTCACAAGCTTCGAAAACGGCTTTCAAATGGGAGAGAACATCTTCCGCGTTTACTTCTACCATGCCTGGAAACGGTAGAACCCCTGATCTTAATAGGGACTACTTAACTGTACTATAAAGGTATCATTTTGTGCGGTAGACTACGAGACCTCAATCAAACGGCTAGCGATTTGTTCGCTAAACATTCACTGATGATTGACAACAAGGAAGTCACGTGACTGAAATATCTCGAGCAAAGTCTGAATAACACCAAGGCAGCCCTGAAAATAACGCAATCTTTGCTTCCAGCTCTTCCGAAATAGCTACTTCACGTCAGGTTTCTGCGATTACGCAAGGATTTGTTTAAGACCAGCAAATGATATACATAATTTCACGGTCATTTGCTTTTACCTTGGAACCCGACGCACTCCTAGCCTGGATCGATCATTCTTAAATCCTAATATTGGCCGGACCTGAGGATGTTGATTTCTCTGGCACGGTGTCAAGTACCATCTTTTTTTCCACAACAATAAGATTTAAAAGTGAAAACAAGGCTCTTTAAGCTAATTGTCGCGGGTCAAACAAGCAAAAAGCAGGATATGGCCCATTTGTCCCTCGAGAATCGTCATGCACGTCTCTCCATTTTCGAATTAAAATAAATTTGAAAATATTGATGTCAATCAGGCATATTGTGCACTTTATTATTGACCGATACGTATGTTTCGATTAAATAGACAAGCAGAGTTGTGACGTGTCAGATTCGTGGGTATTTTTTAGAAATATCTCTTAAAAGTAATGTGACTTATTCATATTTTCATAGCCTTATCCGGAAACTCAGGGGGTAAGAAAAATTCGAGATAGTTTTGCAAACGATCAACTGCTTCTTGGGTTGCACGACTGTCCGACATTCTCTGAACCCCGTTTGTTATGTAGACACTGAAAAGGTCTTCTTTGCTTATCATTTATTTATTAATTTTTTTTTCGATTTTTCAACCTATTTTTTTATCTGAATAAATCATTTACTCTGTCCCAGTCCTTCAAACATGTGCTCAAGACTCTCCTAAATGGATAATGCATACAGTATTATTGTAGAGCCCTGAGAACAACAGAAAATAACAGGACAAAAGAATGTAGACTAAAAGGAAATAAAAGGAAATGAAGAACCCACCATACATCAATTTACCGTGTCAAGTTAGCCAATCCTGTTGTTTCTCAGTAATTTTCAAAACTGAATGCTGCAACCCTAACCAAAAATTACCAACCTAACTTTCCAAAAACTGCAGATATCTTGCAGTGAAAAGTGCTGTAGGGATTATGGGGTTGACTCAATTAAAATATTTAAAATCTCATAGAGCTAAGAAGAGGGTTACACTAACTTCTATGTGATGAAGACTAGGACAGCATTGCTATGAAATTTTGACCAATTTTCATGGCATGTTTAAGTCACTGCTGTTTGTATTATACACCGATGAATGAATATGAATCTTTGGACTAACACACTCCTCAGTTTTCATGACTTTTAAATAAGGACCATGAAAGAGATTGATAAACTTGGGTCTTGATCCTCCCCTTGTAACTGGGTGGTTCAAATTAGTACTTTAGTAATTGGTAAGAAGTGTAATTCAAGATCAAAAAGTAAAATCAGCCAAGAACACCTTGGACAGTGATTCACAACTACAAGAACTTTTAATGACCTTAAAAATATTATGTTTGCAAGACTTGACATTTCCTAAGTGTTTTACTAAACTTTTCTTCTTTGAATGAATGAAAATGTCTTCAACAATGCATGGGTCTACACTGATACAACTCTCTCAATCTCTTACAGTAAGTAATAAATGAAACCAAGGTACAAATCAAAATGAGATACAAATAATAAGTTGAGACTGTCCATTAAAACCCTTTAACTCCCATGATCTGACTGCTAATTCTCCCCTCAAGCTGCCATAAATTTCCTTATAAATAAGTTACAAGGATTTGGTGTTAGATCAAGATAAAAACTTTTACCTGATAGGTTTAAGCATTTTGATTACCTCTTTTCTGCACAATATATGAACATTAAGGGGAGAAGTTACATGTTAATCACTGCTGGGAGCTAAAAGGTTTAACTGTAATGGGAAAGGAAAATAAAAGGTCAAAGTAATTGATAAGTGAAAGTCAGGATCCTACATTTCCTCAATCATAAGGGCAAACTAACCACCTCAAAGTTGACAATAACATTACTATTGTGCAGGAGGGGTTAGTAGTTTTTATACACAGCTTGACCTTGGGTGCTTGTCAAAAAGTTAAGTATGATAAACTGCTATCTCTTCTTGAAACCATACTTCTTTCTTTCGTAAAAGAGATCAGTCTTAGAACTTCCTAGGTTTACAATCTTGGGGCAGCCATCTCTCTGCAAAAAAAAAAAACAAAACAGCAAGTCATCAAGCAACAATCATAAAACTCTAAAGCTATTCTTTAGAAAAAAATAAACTCTTCCTACCAATTTCATGTAAGTATTTGAATGAAAATATTCCATTCCAGCTTTGCTTTACTGAGTGCTGATGAGCAGAAAATTAGCCATCCAACCAGAACTTGGGTATTAAATTCACTTGGGCATTACCAAAACTTTATGTGCATATTTAAAAAAGGGAAAACTCAGGAATCAAGCCAAAGGGCCCAGCAGGCCAGAGCTTAACCAGCATTCCTCAGCATAAAGGGACAAGGAGTATTGCTACTCACCCAGATGAAATGTTATTCCATCAAAGGTTAACCCTCTCTGTAGTTTAGTCAGATTCTCCTGAAAGTTTGCGGGTATTCATTTTATACTCCTGGGTATTGAGGGTTACTTTGAGAACACAATAAACCAGTCAAGTCTTGAGTCTGAACCTCTCAACTTGGACCAGTGTCCTTACTATCAAGCCTCCACATCTTCCACACTGTATGTGAACTTTCAACTCCCATTAACTTAAACCTTGTGTTCATTTGGAGAGATTTTGCTTCCTAAAGTTACCTTCCAGTTAGTATATTCAGCATTTTCCTTCAACATCACAAATCCTTTTTATTCTTCTTCAAAGTTTGAGGTGTAAGGATCAACTGTATAATTTACATTGATGTTTAGCATCTCTAGTTGTATAAATATTTATTACACGACGCGGGCAGTCAGAGGGCCAATAACTAAAATTAACCAATCAAAATGCTCTATTGCTGGTCAATATTCTCTCAGTATTGGACCGGGCACTGTCCCGAATGGTCCCGAATGATACCGTACTTGTGTCCCTTTGAACTTCAGTCATATAATAAATCTCTTATTAACCAAGCTTGCTCTGGACCGTACTGGAAGAATATCGGCCCTTGGTCTTTTTTGTACAGACCTCGCTGCGCTTGGTCTGTACTGTCAAGACCTTGGGCCAATATTCTCCCAGTACGGCCCTCGCGCTTGGTTAATAAGATCTATAACTCACATCTTTCTCTTGAACTGTACATTCTTTACAGTAATAAGCATCAGAGACACCAGGTCCACCACATATTACACAGCGACCTTGATATGAACCATAGTTGCATTCATCACATATCCGCACCAGTGTGCAAGGACGCACATAGGAGTCACAAATGACGCATTTACCATCACCTGTGAAACACACAAAAACAGTGCATGAATATTGCTAGCAATCAATCCCAATGAAAACGATAAAAGGGGAAACAAACCAAAAGCTAAAGGGTGAACTAATCTGCTATACAAGTGATTTTTTGTAATTATAGAGATCTGACCTAACAAATAAAAAACTCCGTCTCAAAATTAACTCTCCAAATTCCGCTTTGGGAGTTTTCATTTCCTCGCTGGTTATGGAATAGGTTATCTCTTTTCTTTTCGTTGGCTCTGACTCCCTCGCATAAAACTAAAGAATGCACGTGTTTCAGAATAAGTTTGACATTCTTTCATCAAAGTTAAGGAAATCTGTGCTCGAGTTTCAACATACTTACATTTTCATTCAAAGAAAAGCAAAATAAAATCTGTAAACTCTCTAAAATAGAATTGATCAGGAGGCAAACGTTATCTGTCACTAAATTGAAGGAAAATGTGAACTTCTCTCGAACATCAGTTACTGTAAAATAAAGTTAAACGAGTCTTGTACTTACATTTTTCGCACAGCCGACCTATAGCTGAGAAATAAGCAAAAGTGGAATATAATCAGTTAACTGCATGAGAAACATTAGTTAAAATTTGCAAACAAACTTACCTACGCCAGGCTGCTTTCTGCACATAATGAGATCTGGATGATGCTTCGCCATCTTAGATTAAATTCCCATCATTCGTTGCAGGACAAGAACGTTAATCAGACGTTCTCGTGTCAAGTCCCCGTCGGTAATTTAGACCTCCAAGCCATTTTGGGGACATTTTGGGTCGATTTCCGATAACAAAATCCGATATCGCCCGATGACGACTACAACATTGGAGACGATTCCAGAAAATGTATCAGTATGTCTGATGGGGGAAGGGGGTCCACACCTCTAGGACCCAACCTCTGGATTCGCATTGTTTGATGCTATTTAAATCGCCTATCCTTCATTGGACGACTGAACGCAAAGACGTTGAAAGTTTCCCTATTTGCAAAATAAGGACTTTGCTCAGTATATGGTTTGCTTTGGGAAGGTTACGACAAGTACAGGTACCTGATCGAAAACGAACGCATTTTCGGATTTTTCTCCTCTCAAGGACTGAGGTCAGTCGGTGTAAACGTTTGTTTAGACGAGGCCTTATGAGAAACATCAACACAAGTTCAGTAACTTTATCAATAAATTGGTTTATAATTTGAATATCAAACCGAAACGTTCCATGGCTGTAGATTTAATAGTGACTGTTGTAAAAGAGACTAATTAACTCTGGGCTGCAAATTATTTACCGCTCGGTGGGGAGTGCCGGAAATATGGCCTGGCCAGATCTTTAGATTTCACGCAAACTACGCAGAACTCGGCCGCTTGTGCAATAGAGGTGCAGCCCAAACTTAAGGTAGTCGTGAATTTGCAGCTGAACGAAAAGAACACATTTTTGCATTTTTCGCCTCCTAAGCCAAGATTGCATCGCAATCCATGTATATGTGCAGCACAAAGCTTTAACTGAGAAAGGTGGACATAATAACAAAACTGATCGAAAATGAAAGCATTTTTGTATATTTACCTCTTAAAGCAAAGCTCATTATTGCAGTAAAGGTGTTGCCTAAAGATTCAAATTCGAGTACAGTTGACATGATTAGTGAAAGAGGTCAAGAACTGAACTACAGCGATGCTACCGAGCAATATCAACAAACACAATATAAACTGAAGCCCATCTAAACAAACAACTGAGGATTGGAGTGGTTAATGACTGAGATGCATCCAAGCCTAAAATCGTATTTACTGATGTTTTTTCATGCGACAAGAATACATGATATTGTGGACGCCGAGATTTACTTAGAAAAGTTTTGTCTTCAAGGACCTAGGCTATCTTAAACTTTATAGAAAATTTATCTTTGCATCCAAACTCCTTGAAACTGTTTTAAAATGATCAGTTTGATATCCACATTTGAATTTTTCCTGAAATTTTATTTAATCACCTCAGTTGAAATACACTGTTATTAATCCCGAGTGTTAAGCCTCCTAATATGTCTGAAATACTGCTTAATGCTTTTTCTCAAACAATGGAAGGATTGATAATGGTTTATGCTATTTCTCAAACAGCCAAAGGATTAAGTGGAAACTTTATTAAAAATTTGGTTTGAAAAATACTTCCAGAAATGTGAAAATCATCAAAAAGAAGCAAAAACACCTTAGCTATGCTTTAGTAAGAAAATGACGAAGAAAAAAGAATTATTTTTAACTGTAGCGGAAGTACTCCTGCAATCATTACACTTTCGTGCAATTACATGTTGTCACTTATTATATGGCTGTGTCTCACAAGGACTGGGAACTACCGAATTCACGAATTTGTTTGGCTGAATTCAATATTGAAAGCGGTCTAGTTTTTCCCATCTAGACCGGCATCTAAACCGGTCTAGAAAAAAAAGGTACAAAGAATATAAAAAATTGCCATATAATAAACATCTTATTAACCGAGCTAGGTCAGTCTGTATGGGAGAATCTTGACCTCGGTCGCTGGTACAGACCTCACCGCGTTCGGTCTGTACTGGCGACCTCGGTCAAGATTCTCTCATACAGACCTCCCGCTCGGTTAATAAGAACTAAAAATGAGCGCACTCTGAAATCTAGGGCGCTGATTGAGGATCTCAATTTATCAATTTTTACACCTAATTTTTTTTATTTTTGCTGGTCAACCCTACTTAGAGGGGAGTACTTGGGCAAAGAAAAAGAAAAAAAACAGGCCCGTAGAAGAAAGAAATGGCAACATTTTGTCAGGAAAAAAAACAGTCCTGGCACCCCTCTCCACGCTGGCATCCAAATAGCGAACAAAGAAGGCGCCATCAAATCTACATTTGGGTTCTGTCCTCGTGTACCGGTTCACAAGAGCCAATACAAAAGACCAAACAATACACAATAGCTAACCGATAACTCCTAAACAAAGAAAGAACAATGGTAATTCCCTTGTGAACCGGTACACCAGGACAGAACCTACATTTGTCGTACATAGGGTTAAAAACGAAGTTTCCTTTCAAATAAGCAAGTACCGGCCCTGATACAAAAACAGACAATCGCCTCGAATCGTAAGAAATCATGGATAAACCTTCCCGGGGGAACTCATTTCAGCGATTAGAGTATTCCTTAGGTTGTCTGTCGATTCGCTGTTTTGCTTTTCAGCAGTTTCCTCAGCTTTACCTTTTTTGCCGCGGGGTTTTCCTGTACTACCTTTGCCCATTACTTAACGTTCAACAGAACGAGATAAAAAAACGCGACTGCTATGCGATATTTTTCCTGGGAAATTAAAATCTTGATCCATTGTCATTGACGCTAGGAGGTCCCGTCTTCCCATTGGTTCGCGGTTTCAGGAGGCGAGATAATCTCCTGGTGCGGCGCTAGTTGTTTACAAACCTTTAGGAGCTAAAATCTCGCATTTGATTTTGAAAGGAGTACATCCACTTGGAGCGAATTTATAGGGTATGTAGATTTGACCGATTTTCGTGAAATTTCGCCAAAACATTCTAGGGATAATGACGAAGGAAAGTGTGTCAAGGAGTTCTGATATTTGAAATATTTTTCACATGGTGTCCATTTACGCATCACATTTCGCATATTTTACGCTACTCCAACTTTAAATGCGGATATCAAGACAACCAATCAGAATATCAGAAAAGCCTGACACATTGTTGTTGATTATATGCAAATTATATTATTTCAGACTTCCTTCCTAACTTAGATAGCATTTTTCCTCTTCTCTCCCTTCCTTTTTATATATATTTTTTCTTTTTACGTGTGCATTTGTACTTCAGTTTTCTTGCTGACCTATATAATTCATAATTTATTTTTATTTGATACTGATGTCAACTGGCTGCCTGGCCCCGCTAGCCCCTATGGTTATTCCAGGCAGCCAGTACTCTAACTTATACTTTTTAATATTCTCTTTCAGATACAATGAATATATGAATATAAATGAAGCTCATATAAATATATGAGCTTCATATATTCATTGTATCTGATTTATCACTTTCACGCGTTTATTACTAATCAACTTAACGGCTTGCTCCCAGTTGGCTTGTTAGCTCAATTGGTAGAGCGCTGCACTAGTATCGCAGAGGTCAGTGGTTCGAATCCCGTACAGGCCTGATGTTTTTCAAGTCTGATTTTCGCTATTGCCTAAATAGCGCTATCTACTGCGAGGATCGTGCATCATACGAATATTCTCTTTGTTGTAACTTTTTCTGAGCAAGAGTGAGTACAAAATAAAGATTATTGTTGTTGTTGTTGTTGTTGTTGTTGTTGTTGTTGATCCCTTGTGAATAAGACTGCGGGATCCGATACCCGATAAATTCAGTAGAACGACCCTCGGTCGTTTCACGCCTTAATGGAAAAAAAAAAACCCCTAAATTATATTTTTATTGTAAATTGCATTTATTAAGCTTTCTTTTGATGTATAGTTTGTTAGGGGTTTTCTCGAAACTAGCGCGCGTACGAATTTTTTTACGCATGACACCCGCGAAGGTGGGAAGTAACTTTAAATAAGCGTGATATAATACTAATAATGATAAAATTAGTAATAATAATAATGGTAGTAATAATTATAAGTTGAATTATAATGTTAAGTATAAGACTGAATTTCAAATAGTTGCTTTTTGTTTTGATAATTTTACCAGTGAACTCTTATTATGCTTTAGCTATGCAAGTTTAAAATGAATGTAGTTTTTTTAGGATTATTATTAAGTAGGATTTGGATTCTTTAATAAAGTCTCTAAGAATGATAATGATAATAGTGATAAAAATAATGACAGAAAATGCACAAGAGTTAGAAACCAATCGGTTAACCAATGAACCGTCTTTGTCCTTCTTTGGTTGACTGGAAATTGAGGGGATAGGAGCCGTTTCTATTTAGTACTGAGGAATGATTCTGTACTGAAGATCAATGAAGATAGGGTAAGAACTACTCTTGTACCCTAGATAGCTTTCTTTAGAATGAACTATTTTATCATCTTTGATATCTACTATCACGCTGGTCAAAAGAGTCACTAACGCAGGGCGCGTATTCGGAAGCAGTAGTGGGTATGACTTCCAATGACTGGGAGAATATTGGAAAAAACCTGGGGGACTGTACTTTGCTGGCGAAGCGACGAGCAGAGATTGGTACGGCTACATGCAGGGAGCCTACTGAACTGGTGAAGAGAAGGGGAAAATGATCGCTGAAAAATTCTTCCCAAGTGAACCTGTCGACAAACCAGGCAAACCGAAAGGTGGAGCAATTTCGGTGATTATGTCTTTAATGGAAATCTTGCTTTTTTTCATGTTTTGCTCACTTCTTTGGATGTAAGCACTGAATTGGCTAATGGGTCGAGAATATTTTGCACAATTGCAATTGGCCGTGAAATAGTATAGAAACCCCGAGCTAAATGTTCCGCTATTTCGCGTAATAGAGCAAATTTACCAAAAGCCAATCCAGGATTGCTTTGTTTTTGCTTTTTGTGTTTGATTGGTCAAAACAAAAACAAACAAAAAAACAAAAAAAAACTTGCGCTGAAAACTGAAGGTAATTATTTGAGAGCATGAATCAACACAGTAACGCAGAAGGGAGGGGAAGTATTGCGGGTAAGACGGAGGAGGACAATATTTGGATGCAACCGTGCTATAGTATCTAAGGAGTTTTGGTAAAGAATGTTAAAAAGAAAACAAAAAAACGAAATTGGAACCCAACTGTCACTGATATTGTCAGAATAAGTGAAATATAAGTATCGCTGATAAAACAAAGAACGCATGATTGTCTTCAGCATTGCCTATCGTATTCCACAAGAAAAACGATTCGAAAACTTTTCCATTTCGGATTTCCACCTCTTAAACGAAGGTTAGTGTTACTTTTAACTGTTCTTTTAATCGACAAATCGGATCGAAAACTTCTGCAGTTTTCGGCGTGGATAATGAGTTTATTGCATCACGAAATTTGATACACGAAGACTGACAAAGAAATTGTACTGATTGCTGTTAGTAACGGGTAAGTAATGGAAAGTAAACCTTGTTCGATTTGTCTTCGAAATACAACATGAACAAGTCGGTTCATCTTGTTTGGTGAGGACTATGCGTTGGAACTTCAATTTTGCGCTTGCATTCCTTTTGAAGAGTAATTGCAAGACTCAATAAGGGTCAAGAATCTTACGTAGCAATTTCCGAACATCGAAATTAAAATCATTTAAGTTGTTACAATAAGATCGATCATCTAACGTTTGGCTTCAAAGTTCAGTTGATACTAAGTTCCAACTAGTGAGGTCGAATCCCTTCGATGCAGAATTTTTTTTTCAAGCTTTCTTCTGCAACTACAAAGGCAATTAACCAGCGAGAATCGTGTGTGCTCTCGATCTTATTGCCGTACTTCTTTTGAACGATAACCCTCGGGAAATAGCGTGGTATGGGGAAAACATTGTATTAGAAAACAGAAAAAAAAAAATAGTAACAATTAAAAGTATTCGAAATTCTCGCTGAGCCAAATTATGTTCGGGGGCAGACTAATTCTTCACCGTCACAGGTAATTTAACCTCTTATATTTACGTTTGCGCAGTTAGTGGGAAAATCTCTCACTTTGCGCGGCGGTTGCGCGAGTTGATTTATCCACCAATAAATATACATCATAGGACTCAGACCAGTCATTTTTTACCATTGATTTTTCAGTTTATCACTGTGACCACTTCTACTAAACGGAGGTGATTTTCAATTTTAACCGAACACAGTGAAACCAAACACTGTGGTTGATTGAGTACTTGAGACAAAAAAAGAAAGGATACTGGAGAGGTTAATGAGGGATTACCCCGTTACCTAATTAAAGGATAGCAAAACTGGTCTAGTTTCCAAACTAAGTCTTGCTGATAGTCAGCTTTGCTAAAATCGAAGTTCTAAGGCTTGCTGGGGGCACTCCTGGGAAATGTTCCTTTCTCCTTTACTCTTTTAACAACATCACGATGTTTGAATTGCGTTGACCCGGACACTAAGTAGATCTAAGTGGCTATTGTTTTTTTGGTGTCTGTTAGCTGTTAGTTTCGAGACGTGTAGCTCGTGTACTTTCTGTTATAAAAGCTGATAGTTTCTAAAGAAACTGGGGCTACGTCGGCGGGGGTAACGAAATAATTTGAATATATCAACAAAGTTGAAATGGTAAATTGGCCACCGTTACGATTATAAAAACTGACGTTTCGAGCGTTAGCCCTTCGACGCTCGAAACGTCAGTTTTTTAATCGTAAAGGTGGCCAATTTACCATTTCAACTTTGTTGATATATTCAAAATACTTTCTGTTATGTTTGTTCGGGTCTATTATTCTTCGTTGGTTAATGATTATTACTTTATAAATTTCTTATTTCAATCAGTTTAAGGTTATTGGTGGGAGCATGGCAACGAGAAAAACATGAATAAATTAGTGGAATGAAAAGCGTTTGTTCATCCCTGTGCCTTTAAAAGCACACACAACCCACAATTCCTCTATTCGCCT